CCCGGGCACCTGGCACTGGGGAGTCTGAGTAGAGGCAGTTTGAAGAGTCAGAGCGCACCCCTTTCTACTGAATCAGAGGCTCCCCAGAGCGGGCAGGACAGGACTCCTGGGGGAGCGTGCTGACTGGCTCCGGCTCCTGGGCTCCCGTGGGAGGGGGCTAGACCAGTGGCCTCCTTGTTCTTTGGGCCCAAGCGCTTTGGCGGATAAGCGCGCTCCTGAGAGGGTGAGCGAGAGCTGCTGCGCCCTCCTCCACGGCTGCCCCCCCGCCTGCCAGGAGGCCTATAAGTTTGTTAGAGGGAAAAAAAGCTATTTTTTCCATCAACAAAGGATACCACCTCCAAAAAGACATCGGAATCCGAAACAGGGCAGCTGCCCATCCTTCCCACCCACCTGAGGAACACAGTGCTCCACCCCTCAGCCAAGGTTCAGTCCATCTCTCAGGGTTAAGTCAACTCTCAGGGTGTTGTGGGACCCGCCAGGGCCAGCCCCAGCTTGGGGTGACAGCAAGTGCTGGACAGAGGCCAGCGTGGAGCCCATGGGCTCCGAGGCCCCGAGTCGCGCTTGGCCAGGTGGGTGCTGCCGGGAGGCTGGCTAAGGGGAACCTAGCGCGCTCAGACAAACGGCCAATTTCAAAAGCAGACAAGGCATGGGTGGGCAGGAAGGGGTGCGCATTAGCCAGAAACTCCAGGCAGGGAGAGATTCAAAAGCAAGAGCAGAGGCGGGAAGGGGTGGAGGCTGGGCGAGCACAGGGGTGTCTGTTTTCCTTCTAAGTGCCCTCCTTCTCTCTCCCCCTCTTTGACTAGCTTTAGCATGTGTCTCATGCAGGCAGGCACTTTTCCAGAGTGGGGCCTCACTGGGGACACCAGTGGTTTCCTGGCTTTATCTTTAGGCGGGGGCGTGACTAGCTCAGTTTTCTCCCATGGCTCCTCTGAGGAACGGTAGGCCAAGCCCGTGGCCTCCCTGTCCCCCATGGTGTGGTCTCGAGCGGGATGGCCCCTGCACTGGACTCTGCTGCCATGACCTGACAGTGCTGGGTCCTCAATGATTTCAGACCTATCTTCTTCCCCCTGCTCCCAAAGGCAGACTGAAGGTCTTTTCCCCAGGAGCTTGTACAGACTTCCAGGATATTAGAGTAAAAAGGTGTAATGGGCTCTGTAACCTTTTTACCACTCGCTCACTTGGCTGCCTGCCCCCCACAAGGTTACACATGGTCTCATCATCATCATCAAGGTTAGTCCTGAGTCTCATAAATGTCCCTTAAGTGCACCCCCCAACCCCCCATCAAGTTGCAAAGCCACTATTTTAGCACATGCTCCTGGGAGAATTTGCTGGCAGTATTTCATCACCTTCCAGTGGACCTCCTGCCTGCAAGCCACACAGCACAGGCTGCCTGGATGACCTCTGAGCAGGTTTCTCCTCTCACACCTACTCACCAATGAACTCCCAACCTTCCCAGCACCACATGCACTCTCTAATCTGGCCCCAGTCCATCTTCCCAGTCCTGCCTGCTCTGGTCCCACGTTTTCCTTCTAACTCTGGTCAAACAAGGCTGCTCCTGTTCTTGTTCCTGTTCTCCTGTTCACCCTGAACTTGGAGGCATTTGTCCCCTTGTAGCCCCCAATCCTTATGTCCACTAACCAGCAAACCTACTGTGGGTGCTCTAAGCCCAGAGCACCTTCCAAGAACAACTGCACCTGCAGTTTTGTGGTCTAGGAATTTGCCCACAGGATTCTTCTCCCCTGTTGAACAAGTGATCCGGGCTTAGGACCAGCACATCCTTCTTACTTGGCGGATGAAAACCCAGCCAGCCCAGAATCTGACAGTAACAAATCCTCAGTGACTATTTGTTGAATGAGTTTGTGTAGTCGGGATTTTTTGGTAACGACCCCTCCTAACGTGCAAGCAGACAGACCAGTTATTTTGGCCTGAGATGGTGACTTCAAGAGACAGGAAACTACCTTTCTCAAGAGACAGGACTCATCCCTACTGAGGGTGGAGCTGAGCCGCAGGGTCAGGAGATGTGGGACTTGATCCCCGGGTCCCCTTTGTGGCTGTGCCACCTTGAGCAAATCATTTTGTTTCTCTGAGACTATATTCTTCACCAGTAAGCAAAATTAGTAGCAACTCTTCACTGCATCACAAGAGGATTAAATGATGAAAGTAAAAGGATGCAGCATAGTAGCTGCACATAGTAGGGCAGCTGTTCAACCAAGGAGCCCAGTGGGGCAGCCCCTGTTATCCTCATTGAGGGTGGTCTCCAGGTACTTCCTCACATCCACCTGCCCAGCTCCATGGCCTGGCCACCCAGCCAGTCAAACCACGGAGACTGGGAAACTCCCGCCCTCTGAGGCCAGCCCCGGGGCAGAGCCCATGAAGGCTTTGTCCTACCTTGGAAGTGGACATATGTGTTGAAGAGCAGGGTGCTGTCTGGACTGACAGCCGTCAAGGGCTGTTCATTTTCCACCCTGTCACCGCCTGCACGAACCTGTTGATCTTCTCAGCCGCGAGATCGGGGTCCATGGCCAAGTCTAGAGAGCGTGGGAGGGTGACAGGGGCGAAGGGAGCCAAGCCCAGCACAAACGGCTGCTTCAGGCGCAGTCCCGGAGCTGTGAACAGCCCCACCACGGTGGACAGGAGCAGTCTGGCCTGGCCCTGAGCCCCGCCCTGGGCGACCAGGAGGCCCTGGATGGTCTGCAGAGCCGAGAGGACCTTGTGGCCATCCAGCCTGGAAGTGCAGCCCTTGATCTCCCCAGGGACCCCCAGGAACACCTGCAGGCTGCTGGCCGTGGGGTCCGAGGCTCCCAGGTAGAAAGAGGCCAGGGTGCCGAAGAGAGCTGTGGGGGAGAGCACTGCCCCCGCGGCCTTGCTCCAGGTCTCGCTCAGCACCTTGTACATGCGGAAGCCCATGAAGTTGAGCAGCATGCCCACCTCGGCCGCCCTCAACTTGTCTTCCGCCTCCAGCTTCTGGGCGGCCACCACCAGCTGCTGCCGCAGGGCCTCCTCGTTCACAGGGGATGTCTTGGCCTGAATCGGGACGGGGATGAAGGTCGGGTCGTTGGGTGTCTCCGCATTGGATTTCTCCAGCTGGTCACAGCTGCTCTTGCTGTAGACGAGGAGGTGGAAGGGGTGTATGTACACCCGGTCCCCGGCAGCCAGGCCGGCCCAGCTCCAGAGGCAAAGGACAGCGGCCGCCAGACTCACGCCGGCAGGAGTCATCTCGAGGGGCGCTTGCTTTCTGCGGACCCTGAAATACCATTTTGTGAAGGTGAAAGGTGATTATGAACAAGTTATTAACCAGACTTGTAGTTATTCCAATATTCTTTGCAGCCATTTAGCCCAGCAGACATCTGCGCCCTGGTCCACAAATAATGAAGAGAAGAACTGGATTCAATGCACCATGGAAGATCTCTATAGGGTCCAGGAGTGCAACTCACTGAGTTTTTGAAGGGTTTTATTTGGGAGGGGGTTGATTTTGTGTTTTTGTTTTAATACGATTTTATAGTGGTTGGGATGTCTTAATGTTAAGACATTTGCAAATCTTAAAGAAAACTATGGAAGTGTCCACTAGATCAAGTAAAAAATATCAGTGTCGTCACAACATATGTGAGTGGCTGGTATTATCTTTACCTTATGTGAATCAGTGGCATCATGCTTTAGTCAATAATCAAATACTTAATAAAAGAATACTATGGAATCATTTGAACTTGATTTTAAGGGAAATCTTTGAGCTTCTATTGAGGTTCATGATATTCATGCAAAAATTCTTATGTTGAAGTCCTAATCCCCAGAACCTCAAAATGTGTCCATATTTGGAGACAGTCTAGAGGCCATTTAGGTTAAATGAGGTCAGTGGAGTGGATTCTAATCCTGTATCTCTAGCGCCCTTATAAGAAGAAGTGCGAGAACAGATACACACAGAAAGAAGACCGTGCGAGGGTGCAGGGAGAAGAGCGCTGTCCCACGCAGGGAGAAAAGCTTTAGGAGAAGCCAACCTGGATGACACCGTGATGCTGGACTCGCAGCTCCCCAGCTTCAGGGAACAGATCTCTGTGGGTTGAGCCACCCAGTCCAGGCACCTGCCTGAGGACACTGCATGATAGATGGATCCCAGGAGAGAAGGAGCTTCGACTGCCTAATGCAGCCCTTTCTCTGCCTTTTCTCCCTAGAGAGGGTTCATTTAGTTCTAAATTTTTGTAATGGGATTTTCAAAAATTTATTAACTAATTTATTTTTTGTGTGTAAGAACTGGGGGTGCAGGCCAGAGGTATGAGGGTTGAGAAGATTCACCAGAGACAGTGGGGAGCAGAACAGGCAGATTTATTGAAATACACTTTTGAGGAGAGAGCGGGCGAGACAGGAGAGGTCTGCTGCACCATGTATGAGTTAGCTCCCTGGCCAGGCATTAAACTCAGGCCATACTGATGATTGTGCTGAGACTTAACCCCTAGGTCACCAGGGAGGCCCCTAATTTTTTTTTTTAGTTACTGTTTTGGAAGTAACATTATTATACATCCTTGCAAGTGTTTTGACAGTATAGGGCTCCCCCCAGGTGTAGTCACCATAGCCCTTCCACCACTGAAGCACCCACAGTCCTCCACCATAATCCACTGTACTCCCCAATCCTCCTGTTTTCACCCTTCCCCTACCCTTCTAAAAGCCCAGTTTTCAAAGCTTGGTTTTAAAGTTTGCTTTGGGGGCCTCTCTGGTGGCACAAGGGGTTAAGCACCGCACTATGAAGCAATCCACAACCTCTGCAACACGAGTTCGATCCCTGGTTGGCCCAGGCAGCAACCCATATGACGCAGCAGACCTCTCTTGGCTCGTCCTCTGCTCCCTCAGCAGTGTATTTCAGTCAGTTTGACTATTCTCTTCCCCACTCTGTCTCTGGTGAATCCTCTTACCGACCCCGCCCCCATCTCTGGCCTGTACACCAGCTCTTGTATGCATAAATAAATAATCTTTAAAAAAATAAAGTTTGCTTTTGTCTGACCTTTTGTTTATTTCTTCTATATTCCACATATAAGTGACACGATCGGTATTAACTTTGTCTGGCTTATATCACTTAGTATAAGCCCGTCTAGCTCCCTCCATGTTGCTGCAAATGGCATGAGTTTATCTTTTTGATTGCTGAGTAGTATTCCATTGTGTATATAGGCTCTATCTTCTTGAGCCACTTGTCTGTTTTTGACACTCGGGTTGTTTCCTAGTTCTAAAACATATACCACCTCTCACTCGTTTCTTGTGAAGGTGAATACTGTACTATCAAGTTAGTCTTAGCCTCCCCATCTCCCACCCCTTCCCCAACCATCCCAGAACTGGGCGGGTCCTCCCTGGAGTCACCATGGACTCAGAACCACCTGAGTCTTTCCTGCACGTCTGTGCCCACCCAGACACCCCATCTTAGATTGGCAGTTCTCTTTGCTTTCCCTGGTCTGGTCCCCCACACCTGGTCTCCACACAGGACACTTAACTTCAGTGTATCGCGTGTTTGCTCTGCTCTCATTATCAAATGGCCAAAAGAACTTTGACTTCTGATCTCAATCTGACCCTTCTGCCTATGCCTGGACTCAGGCTGCTGTTCTCATAAGAAGCAATACAACATGGAAAAGCAGAAAATAAAATCTCCCCATCTTTACAGGCCTGAGTTGTTAGTTCATGACTCATATAAAACGTCAAATCAAATTGAGTCACCAGTGCAAACCTGAGTGAGGAGACACCCTGCAGTAATGAGGGTGGGGGCAGTTTAGGGGCGTGCATGGAAATGCAGCCCTGTTTTTCAGCCCCTGGACAGCATAGGCAGTTTCAGCTGAAGCAATTTCATGAATCATTTCCAAAGCCAAGGCTGTCGTTTGCTCTCAACTGTGACCTGTTGCTGCTGCCCCGTTCTAAGTCAGCACACTGCAGGGTCCTGAGGATGAAGGGGTATTCTGGGAACAGAAATGCCCTCTCCATCCTTGGCCTCCCTCTTTACTAGCCCCTCCTTCTAGGTGTCCCTATGGCTTGACGATAGTGGAGAGGATGGCAGCTCTCATTCATGTGATGTTTATTGTTGCCGGCACTGCTCAGTGCTTTTCATATATCAACTCATTTCATCCCCACAGTAGGCCTCACCTTCTCAATGAAGTTGCCTTGACACCCTATTTCACAAAGCAACTGATCCCGCCATTCCTGGCACTCAATGTGCTTATTCTGCTCGGCTCTCCTTTTACCAGACATAGCACTTGTCACCTTGTAACACTCTGCATCATCTGTCTGTCTGTCTATTTATTTATCATGCTGTGTGTATTGTCTTCTTCTCACACACAAATGCAAACCTCTCAAGACAGTGTTCTTGCTCTGCTGTGTTCACTGATATATATACACCACATTTCCAAAAAGGTACCTGGTACAGTAGGTACTTGGTTAGTAAAAACTACCACTGCTAAGGACTGTAACCACATAGTTGTTAAATGAATCAATTATGTCTCTTTGCAGAGGAACAGAGAAGTTCAGTAACTTGATCAACATCACCCAGCTAATAAGGCACTGAATAGGATTTAACTCTACACCCCCGGTCCATAGTCATCTGTATTGCTTCTTGAACAAATAATAAGAATTCACCTTTTTAGTTTGCCCTAAAGTTTAGAAAGCACACTCACATTAAAGTCGCCCTCTAATTTACACCAAGCTCACAAGCAAGAGAGACCAAGCGTTGATATGAAACCCACTTTATAGATGAGCAAACGAAGGGGAGACAAAATGATGAGTCTGATTGCTGCAGACAACCCCAGTCTTTAGCCCAAGCCCAAAGGCAGCACCACCTCAAGGAGACCACCCTCATCTGAGCCCTATGGGACCCAGCCTGGAACTAACTGAGCCTGGTTCCTCCCTCTGTCCTAGCTCTGCTGCCAGCACAGCGAGACTTGTTGTTCTTCAGGCAGGAAGAGGGCTCTGTGGACTCTTGGCCACCAGAACCCTGTTCCTTGCCAGCTCCGGAGGATCCTGCACTGCTTGGAAAGGCTAGGAGGACCCGGCCATGCTGTCCTAATAGTGAGGAGAGGCAGCTCCTCCTCCAGTGAAACCCAGGTGGGGCCTGAGGGGCAGGTAGCTCATGTCTGGACCTCTGGCATCACAGGAAAGGTGACTTCTGCGTCTTCTGTGGTCAGGTCCCCTGCGGCAGAGCCGACCCTGGTTCTTGGCTTCTGGGTATATTTAGCCACTGCCTCCCCGCAGCTCTTCCCCGCCCCCAGCCCTCTACGTCCTGAAGACAACTCAGCTGTCCCTAGAGAGACCGAATTGAAGAGGAGGGCGAAGGAGCTGAGGAGGCTGTGGCTGGAGAGGCCTCGCTTACCTTCTGCTTTAGTCCCCAAGACACAGCAGCCTCTTCCCCTGGCCTGCCTGGGAGGCCCTATTTATATCTGGGGGGTGGGGATGGAGCTGTTCCCAGACTGTTCTGTGACCAGGCTTGGGGGAGGAGGGTTGCATCACTTGGCCAACCCGTGGGAATGGAGGCCCCAGACGGGCCTCCCAGGGGGAAGGAAGCCAGAGTCTCTCTCATGCTGGGACTCCTTCCAGGAAGTCAGGGTGATCGATGCTCACTTTGCCGCTGAACAGAACGAGCTGGTACGTGGTGGAGTTACACATTTACTGAAGTTTGCCAGAGCTGGGGGCACCATCACTGCGCACGCAAACATCCCACGTAGGGGTGTGAGGTGTCTCTGCCCCTGATGTGATGGCCAGAGCCAGTCACGCTAAGCCTGAGCCCCCTCAGGGTGAGCTTCTGCTTGTGCACCCAGGGACCTAGTGGGGTGGGGGCAGGGAGAGCAGTGCTCAGGTGACCTGGGGGTGACTTCTGACCTTGAGGCCTTGAGCAGCTCAGCGTTTGTCCAAACAGCAGCAGGCGCCTCCTCCCTGAGAGGCCCTTTGACAGGCACCGGGAGAAACACACAACAGAACAGAAGTGCCTCCTGGAAGCCTGTGCGGGAGCCGGAGACAGCACAGCCAGATGGAAAGGCACCAGCAAATGCTTTCAGACCGTGGGAAGGAACAGGGCATTAGTGCTGGGGAAGCTTTCAGGGAGAAATGTCTCCAGAGTCAAACCTTGAAGGATAAACAAGTTGGATTTTGAAGTTCCAGAAAGGGATTTTTTTTTTTTTTTTTTTTTTTTTTTTTTTTTTTTTTAGAGATAGAGGTTTATATGCTGGTAGCAAAGAACAGGGAAAGCTTGGGGCTTGTTTGGAGGCCACCAG